TGCTTATATGCCTGTATGAAATTCTCAATAAATTTAACAACAAAAAAAAAAAGCACTTGATGTGATTCTCATCAGACAAATTTGGGAATGCCAGTTGGTTAGAAGTTTGAGGAAGAATTATTTTCACTTCCCTTGTGTGTTCCTTGTTAATGTTCTTGTATTTTTAATTTTAAAATTTTTTATTTTATGTAGATGAGTGTACTGCCTGCATGTATGTAAGTGCACCTGTGTTGTGCAATGCCTGAGGAGATCAGAAGAAGGCACTGGATTCCCCTAGAACTGGAGTTTCAGAAAGTTGTTAGCTGCCATGTGGGTACTGGAAATTGAACCTGGGTCCTCCATAAGAGCAGCCAGTGCTCTTAGCCACCAAGCCATCTCCCTAGCCCTTTATTTTTAAATTTTAAATTTTATTTTATATTTATTTTATGTATATGAGTGTTTTGCTTGTATGTATATAAGTGTACCCATGTGTACAATGCCTGCAGAGTCCAGAAGAGGGTGTTGGATTTCCTGGAACTGGAATTACTTTTAGTAATTCCCTGTGCGTGCTGGGAATCAAACCTGGGTCCCCTGGAAGAGCAGCCAGTGTTCTTAACCCCTGAGCCATCTCTCCAGCCCCTCACTTTTTTTTATTATGAGATAAGGTCTCATTAGCTTTGCCCAAGTAGACCTTCAACTTGTGACCTTCTGCCTCAACTTCCTGAGTATCTGGGATTACAAAGCCTGCCACCAGGTCAGGCTATGCAATTTTTGTTTATTTCCAAGAACACTAGGCCTGTTGTTACACGTGCATTTGAGTTTATCTGGTGCATTTTAGGTTTAATTGTACAATTTTAGCAAGTAGACTATGTGTGATGCTGTCTTTGTATCAGAGACTCATGATGTGACTGACCCATTGTGGATAATGTTTATCACTTGGATAAGGTAGTGTCTGCTAGGTATCCCCCCCCCCCCACGCAAAAAAAAACCAAAAAGCCTCTATTCATTTTACTTTTGTAATTTCCAAGTATCTTTGTGGGATAACTTTGAATTCTGTTTCTTTCACCTCTTCTTCTAGGGTTAATGAGTTGCGATGGTTGTTGTAAAACTACTTGCATGTTGCATCTTTAAAATGTCAGTCCTTAGCCTTGTTTCAACCTGTGTCTTTCTGACTTGGGGGAAGAATGAACAAGCAGCTTCCCCGCCCTGTATCTGAGGAGTGTGAGGTTTGTGACTGTGCTATTTGGTTCTGTTTCAGACCAGGTGGATGGAGCCTTTGTTCCCCTCGTCAACTTCAGCTGTGGGATATTTGCTGGAATTCTGGCTTCACTGGTGACGCAACCTGCAGACGTCATCAAAACTCACATGCAGCTTTCCCCAATGAAGTTTCAGTGGATTGGCCAAGCGGCCACGCTCATTTTCAAAGTAAGACTGTAGAGTTAGTGCCTGGTTCTTGTGGTCCATGGCCTCTAGTACATTGGTTTTCATCCTTCACATACAGTAGAATCATCAGTGAGCTTCAGAAATCACCGGGTATTTTGTGGTTGGTAGAACATGCACATAGCATGTACAAGGCCCTTATTTCAGTCTCCACCCTGGCTGGCCTTAAACCCCTGTGCTGGAATTAAATGTGTGTGCCAGCACACCCTGCAGTGCTTCTTTTTTTAAGGTCCCTAGTATGCCAAGCATGGTTGTGTACTCTTCTAGTCCCAGGACTTAGGAGGCGGAGTCAGGGGGATCTCAAGTTTGAGGCTAGCCTTGGCTATACCATGACAGCCTGTCTTTAAAAAATGTCTCCAGCAGTTGGAGAGATGGCTTAGTGCTTAAGTTCACTAACTGTTCTTGGTGTACTCTTCTAGTCCCAGGACTTAGGAGGCGGAGTCAGGGGGATCTTAAGTTTGAGGCTAGCCTTGGCTATACCATGACAGCCTGTCTTTAAAAAAAAGTCTCCAGCAGTTGGAGAGATGGCTTAGTGCTTAAGTTCACTAACTGTTCTTGCAGTGGACCCAGGTTCAATTCCCGGCACTTACATGGCAGCTAACAACTGTCTTAAACTCCAGTTCTAGAGTATCCAGCCCCCTCCTCTGACCTCTGTAGACATTGCACACAAGTGGTTCACTTACAAATATGTGAAGGCAAAACACTCATACACATAAAATAAAAATAAATGATTAAAAAAAAAGGGGTTTTTTTGGTCTTTTTGAGACAGGGTCTCCCTGTAGCCCCAACTGTCCTGGATTCACCATGGAGACCAATTAAAACTTTTTAAAAGGTCCCTAGCCTCGGTGGTGGTACATGCCTTGAATCCCAGCCCTCAGGAGGCAGAGGCAGGTGGGTCTCTGTGAGTTCCAGGCCAGCCTAGTCTATGTGATGAAAAAAAAAGGGGTTTTTTTGGTCTTTTTGAGACAGGGTCTCCCTGTAGCCCCAACTGTCCTGGATTCACCATGGAGACCAATTAAAACTTTTTAAAAGGTCCCTAGCCTCGGTGGTGGTACATGCCTTGAATCCCAGCCCTCAGGAGGCAGAGGCAGGTGGGTCTCTGTGAGTTCCAGGCCAGCCTAGTCTATGTGATGAGTTCTAGGCCAGCCAGAACTACAACGTGAGACTCTGTTTCAAAAGAAGAAGGAAAAAGTCCCCAATGATTCTCTGGTTCTGATGTGTGCTGCCAAGGTTGAAAACTACACAACCCGTGTTTTGTCTTTTTGGTTTTTTAGTTGGTGGCGGGGGTGGGAGTGGGGCACCTGACTAGGATCATTTGTGCATCAGTGTGCAGGTTGCTGGGCTCTGCTCCAGACCAAAATGAGTCAGGAAGTTGGCCCAGCAATCTATTAAGGACTAAGGACAAAGTACAGTCAGAAAGAAAAAGGACACACATTGTTTTTGTTCTAGCACTTTTCTCTAAAAGAGATGAACAGATAGTATTGTTGAAGATTAGAGGGACACTAAGTACTATATTCAAACCACTGGATTGTCTTCTTAAATTATTATCAGTGGTTAACATTCTTTTTTTTTAAGATTTTATTTTTATTTTTGTTTTATCTGTGTGTTTTGTATGTATGTAAGTGTACCATGTGTATGCTTGGTACCCACAGAAGCTGAAAGAGGGTGTTGGATTCCCCTGAAACTGGAGTTAAAGATGGTTATTAGCTGCCATGTGGGTGTTGGGAACTGAACACAAGAGCAGCTAGTGCTCTTCACCACTGAGCCATTTCTCCAGCCCCAGCATTTAACATTCTTGTTAAAAGGTTAAATACGAGTTTGTTACCATGTGGGTGCTGGGAATTGAACCTGGGTCCTCTGCAAGAGCAGCCAGTGCTTTTTTTTTTTGTCTTTTTGAGACAGGGTCTCCCTATAGCCACAGCTGGCCTGGATTCACTATGGAGACCAGGCTGGCCTCAAACTCACAGATCCGCCTGCCTCATGAGTGCTAAGATTAAAGATGTGCGCCACCATGCCCGGCTTCAGCCAGTGCTCTTAACCACTGAGCCATCTGTCCAGTCCCCATAATCTATTCTTAATGTGTGAATTTGCTAATCAGGCTAGATTGTAAGGAAGTAGTGATTTGCCTCTAATTCTTTTTTTAAATTTTTTTATTATGTGTATAAATGTATTACTTGAATGGAGGTAAGTTCACCCATGTCATGCAATGCCTGTGGAGGGCCTCGCATCTCCTATAACGAGTTACAGACGGTTGTTAGCTGCCATGTGGGTGTTGGGAATCAAACCCGGGTCCTCTGCAAGAACAGCCAGTGCTCTTAACCACTGAGCTGTCTCTGCAGCTCCTGCCTTTAATTCTTACAAAGATAGGACCACTAAGAACATGCAGTGAAATTATAAAATCAGAGCCCTGGAAGAACAGCAAATGGAAGAACCACTGAGCCATTTCTCTAGCCCCTAAATATCCTTTGTTTTAGCTAAGAAACTTCCCCAGGTAGTGCAGGCCTAGAGGTTGTGGGGAAATTTTTTTTAGGTTAATTGGCTATCTCCTTGGACCCATGACTCATAGATTTGGCATGAAGCTTAAAGGCTAAGATTCAAAACTGGAGTAACAAATCTCTGTGCTGGCAGGGGCATAATTAGTTGTATTGCTGCTTTGCTTCTGGAGTTTGACAGTTATTTTCATTGTAGGCCCATGGGCTGCGTGGCTTCTTCCAAGGCAGCATTCCCCGGGCCCTCCGCAGAACTCTAATGGCAGCAATGGCATGGACAGTTTATGAAGAGATGATGGCCAAGATGGGCCTGACGTCCTGACGAGAGGGCTGGGAAAAGGAGGATCTGTTGTCTTGCCTGGTTCCTGCCACCGGCTGTTGCATCTCACTGTCCTGGAGTCAGAAGTCCTGCCAAAAAGCCCGGCAGAGCATCATTGTCTTCAAAGTTTTCTCCATTCAAGGAGAAAACAGATGACCTGATTGGAGCCTCCAGATTTCTGGAAGTGGGGTCACCAATACACACAGTTCAATACACATTTTTAGTCAGTGCTCGCTGGGGAGCAGGGAACAGAGCTCGCTTGCCCCACAAGGCTGCTTGAAAGGCATTTCTGGAGAGACCTCAGCCAGGTCGATCTGCTTCGGCCACCCAGCTATACCACAGGGCCTCCTTAGGTATGTTCTGAACAAGGAATCTTATGCTAGACAGACTGTGGGCCTCCTGCCATGTCTGAGGGGCTCTATTAGTGAAGACTAGATCCAAAGAGAGCTGTCACGGACCAGTGAGATGGCTCAGCACGTAAATGTGCTTTTGGAGTGACCCGAGTTCAATCCCCAGGACCCATATGGTAGAATAGAATTGACTCCTGAAAGTTGTCCTCTGACTTCCACATGTACACCATGACAACCCCCCCATAAATAAATGTAATTAAAAATTTTTTTTAAATAGAGTTGTCATATTAGCAGGTTGAAGACTGTCTGAGGTGCGTCAGGACCAGAATAGACATTTAATTGGTTCTAATCAGCCTTCATATGCTGTGGAGAATGGGGACTGATTTCCTGGCCTCCAAATGTCCAAAGAAAATCTTTTGGTCTGGGCCCTGTATTGTTTTAGTTTTATGCTGCTCTCACAGTTTTCCACAATTCAAGTTCAGATGAATAAAGTACTCTGTCAGTGAAAGCTGTTTGAAAAAAGAAAAACAAAAACATACCTCGGTGTGGTGGTGTACGTCTTTAGTCCCAGCACTTGGGAAGCAGGTAAATCTCTGAGTTTCACAGTCTGGTCTATATAGTGAATTCCAAGCCAACCTGATTTACACAGCAAGTTCCAGGCCAGCTGTGGCTACATCGTGAGACCTTGTCTCAAAAAAAAACAAAACAAAACAAAAAAAACAACAAAGCAGCTGTTTGGAAAACCCAAATAGTGTTATGCCTCATTCTTTGATAATAACCAACCAGTTCTGGGTAACTTAACTTCTGATCTACCATGTAAGTTCCTAAAACAATTTAAAATAAGCTTTATTTTACCTACTTCACCCATTTGATGTACATAATTCAATGGTTTAGGGGCTAGGTGAAGCTCAGTGGTAGAGAGCTTGTCTAGTATATGCAAGGGTTTAATCCCCTCATATCACCAAAACAAAGCATTTTATAGTCAGATTTGCTGGTGCATGCCTATTAATCCCAGCACTTGGGAGGTGGAGGCAGAAGAATCAGAAGTTTAAGTCACCCTACAGTACAGGAGACCCGTCTCCAAAAAAAGGAAAAAAAAAAAAAAAAGAGTGAACTCATGACCCTAAATTAGCTTTAGAGCATTTCTATCCACCAGTAAGGTCTCAATGCCCATTCACAATTCTCATTCCAGCCTACCACTCCCTTTCTGTCTGCAGTTTTGCTTTTCTGGATACCTCATGTAATATACTCCTGTGATATGCAGTCTGTTATATCTGACCTCTTTCACTTAGGTATTTTGCAATATGTTCATGATGTGGCATGTTAAATTAGCTTTAGAGCATTTCTATCCACCAGTAAGGTCTCAATGCCCATTCACAATTCTCATTCCAGCCTACCACTCCCTTTCTGTCTGCAGTTTTGCTTTTCTGGATACCTCATGTAATATACTCCTGTGATATGCAGTCTGTTATATCTGACCTCTTTCACTTAGGTATTTTGCAATATGTTCATGATGTGGCATGTTCAATATTCCGTTCTTTTTTGATGTGTATGAGTGTATTGCCTGTGTATATGTGAGTGCACCCATGTTGTACAGTGCTCACGGAGATCAGAAGATAGCGTCGGATCACCTGGAACTGGAGTTAAGGATGGATGCCACCATGTGGGTGCTGGGAACTGAACCTGAGTCCTCTGCAAGAGCAGCCAGTACTCTTAACCACTGAGCCATCGCTCCAAACCCAATACTCTGTCCTTTTTAGATTTTTATTTTTGGTTTTGGTTTTCTTTTGAGACATGGTCTTAATGGCTTCAAACTTAATGATCCTTGTGATCCTCTTGCCTTAGCCTCCCAAGTGCTGGGATTACATGTGTGTACCACCACCGTGCTCAGTCAAGAGGTGTTTCCCCCTTTCTTCCTGAGGTACTGGGAACTGAGTGAATCCTGGGCCTCAGGGCCTTGTGCATGCAAGGCTAGCACTCAACCACGAGCTGCATCCTCAGCCTTTGTTTGCCTTTTTTTTCAAAGTGTATAGACCTTTTCATTGTATGCATGTACAGTCATCCTTCAGGATCCAGAGAATTGGTTCCAGGCCATCCCATGGATGCCAAAATCCAAGGATGCTAAAGTTCTTAATATAAAAATGGCATGCTATTTGCTGTTAACTCACACAGTCCTCCCATATGCTTCAGATCATCTCTAGATTACTTCCCTGATGCAGTGTAAATGCTGTGTAAAGAGATGGCATGCCATCCCAATTTCTCATCCCTTCAATTCTTATTATTGTGTAAATACCCTTCTCCTGGGTATGTATGTATGCATATATATGTATATATACATATATACATTATATATATACATTATATATATGTATATATATATATGTAGAGAGAGACAGAGAGAGTTCAATTTCACCATTTCCATTGAGCAGATTCTATTCATCAATCTGGTTTTGACATACTTCTCCAAGCTTTTCTATATCATTAAATGCACAGAAACGTTTGCTTGCTTCCAATGCTCAGATGAGCAAAGATAATGTTGCTTATTGCTGAAAAGTAATGATGTTATGTAGAGAGACAGAGAGAGACAGAGTTTGTTTCTAGTTTAGGAAAGAGCCATCACTTTATCCAAGGAGAAGAGTGTGTGCTTTAGTGGTTAAGACACAGGCTCTGATCAAAACAGCTCAGGTTGAAATTGTGTCCAAAGAAATAGGGACAGAGCTGGTGGGGTGGAGCATATCTTTGATCCCAGGACTCTAAAGGCAGAGACAGGCAGATATTTGTAAGATCAGCCTAGTCTACATAGTGAGTTCCATATATAGGGAAACCCTGTCTCAAAAAGGGGGGGGGGAGTAGTATTTCCCACCTCCTAGATTGTCAGTGAGCAGTAAGTAAATGTATTAGTTCCCACAAACTGAACTGAGTGTGCCAGTACAAATGCTTCAGTTCTGGAAGCCAGAAATCTGAAATCCATGGCTCACACGCTCTGAAGGCAATAGACAGTAATTTAAAAAAAATTTTATGTGTATGAGTATATTGCCTGCGTTTGTGTAAGTGCACCTGTGTTGGGCACTGCCCCCAGCTGTCAGAAGAAGGCATCAGATCCCCTGGAACTGGAGTCAAGGACAGTTGTTAGCAGCTATGTGGGTGCTGGGATCTGAACCCCATTCCTTTGCAAAAGCACCAGTGCATTAACCTCTGAGCCATCTCTCCAGCCCTGAGAGTCATTTCTTGTGTGCTGACGTTCTGATGGCTGCTGATAATCCTTGGTTTGTTGATCTCCTGTGTAGTGCATAACTTGGATCCCCGCCTCTGTCTTTATAGTGCCTTCTATTTGTGTCCAAACTTCTCTCCTAAGGACTCAGCACTGGATCAGGGCTCACCCTCACGTAGGATGGCCTTATTTTAGCTTGAAAACACATGTAAAGACCCTCTTTCTCAGGTCACATGTACAGGTACCACAAATTAGGACTCTAGCAAGTCTTTTTGGAGGTGGGGCACAAGTCAATTTAAAATATGCTGTTTATTTGTATAAGTTCACTTTAGGTTAAAATGCCCTGTCCAAAATACTTTGAGTAGGGCTGTGGAAGAGGATAGAGGATAAGCGGGATCCTAATCTCATGGCATCCAAGCCACCAGTGCAGTGACTGGCATGTCACAGGCCTTTGTGCTGGGAAGTACTTGGGACTGGATAAAAGCGAAGGCAGGTTGGATGGAGTGGCTGACTGCTAAGAATAAATATATCCTTGCAGGGTGGCTTTCTCTGGGCCTCCGTATCTCCTTGAATTTATCTTAAGGCCAGGAAACCCAAGGGTATAGAGTCACTTGGAGGAGGGGCAGAGATGAACCCTGAAGTATGGGTTCCACCTGTGTGCATTTGCTTAATCCATGGCCCCAGAGTTTTAGACTTCCCCATAGGAGCTATTTATTCCAGAAACAGGAGAAAGAAATGTCAGGAGTGATAGCTTAGTTTTCTTTAAACATGAGATAAGATTTTGCCTCTGAACCCGTATGTGGCCCTAAAAACGTATTCCAGGCCTTGAGAACTTAGTTTTTCTTGTCTTTTGGTTTCATAATATTAAAACTTAGAAATGAAGTGGTTGCTGAGCTTCAGCTGGTTTGGAAACATTACCCAGTCATATACAGTTCTTCCCAGCTTGGGTGCAGGCCAGAATTTTCTGGAAGCTATTTGTAGAACAGTTTTTGTTTGAGGTTGGGCATGAAATACTTAAAAGCTATCCAAGGGGGCTGGAGAGATGGCTCAGTGGTTAAGAACACTGGTTGTTCTTGCAGAAGACCAGGGTTCGAATCCCAGCACCCACATGACAGCTAACAACTGTCCGTAACTCCAGTCCCAGGGGATCCGACAGCCTCTCTGACCTCTGTGGGTATTGCACGACACGGGTGCACTTACCTACATGCAGGCAATACATGCATACACATAAAAAAAATAGTAATAAAATTTTAAAAAAGCTATCCAAGTGATTCTAAGTATGGCCAAGATTGCGATTCACTGTTATTGACAATTTGCCTATTTCCCCCCCTCTTACGGCCATCTTTTTTAAAAATTTATTTTTATGTGTACAAGTGTTATGCCTACATGTATGTAAGTACACCTGTGTCATGCAATGACCTTGGAGGGCAAAAGAGGGCCCCGGATCTCCTGGAACTGGAGTTACAGATGGTTGTTAGCCACTATGTGGGGTGCTGGGATTCAAACCTGGGTCTTCTGCAAGAACAGCCAGTGCTCTTAGCTCCCTTGGCCATCTTTTTGTAGGTGTCAAACTCGTTTTGAGACAGGGTCTCCCTG